AGTGGAAGAGAGGGAGGAGAGAGAGTAGAGAGGAGGGAGAGAGAAAAGAGCACGTTAGACGAGGTACTGAAGAGAGAGAGGGGAAAGAGAAGAGAGGGAGAGAAGGGGAGGGAGAGAGAGGGGGAGGGAGAGAGAACTTCGTGTGCTGGCGACGCGCTTCAGTCTGCTACTCCCACATGCCAAACATTAAATATAAGACTTGGCAAAGTTTTTTCGAAGATTTACGTGAGCAGATACGAAATTTCGATTGGAACTTGACATGAACTGCTTCATTATTTTCAACACGGCTCGCGCTTGCTACAACAGTAAGTGTTCTATATAGTGGATATATACCCTGACTGTGGCGACTGCAGTGTTTGATCAGAGAGTGAAGGCACGGAGCTGAAGGGCAGTTATCGCCACAATTAAAAACATCTTTGTTTGCCCTCACCGACCCAGCGAAAGGTTTGGGTAAGAAATATAACCTTTTTTAATGGTCTTTTTACAAATTCAGCATGTGTCTACATGCTCGGTGTGCTTGTGGGAGATACCTTTTCGTGAATGCCTTGTTTGCTTGCGTACAATAATAATGAGCTACAGATTTATATAATTACAGTGATACAATTGTCAAAAAAAACGAATGGGAAAGATCAATAAGTCTGTGGCGTGACGGTGAGAGAAGATGCGGGGAGGGGGAGGGTGGGGGAGGGGATGAGGGTGGGGAGGAGGAGAGAGTGGGGAGGAGGGTGTGAGGGTGGGGATGAGGATGGGGTGAGAGTGGGGAGGGGGTCAGGGTGGGGAGGATGGAATGAGGGCGGGGAGGAGGGGACGAGGGTAGGGAGGAGGGTGTGGGCCTGCGGGGGAGGGTGAGGGTGGGGAGGAGGGGATGAGGGTGGGGAGGATGGGATGAGGGTGGGTAAGGGGAATGAGAGAGGGAGGTGATGAGGGTGGGCAGGGGGTGAGGGTGGGGAGTGGGTGACGGTGGGAAGGGAGGAGCATGAGAGGTAGGAGCCGAGTGTGCTGTGTGACTTGTGTAACCATGACAACATCACCAAACTGCTGTCATAGGGTTAGCACAAGATCTGCTTCATATGTGGTGTGATCGTGAGGGAAGGGTGGATGGGAAGGGTAGGGATAAAGATGGGGAGGAGGGAGGAAAGGCAGGAGGTAGCTGTTTAGAGTTTAAGGACAAAATTAGTTTGGTATTATTATTGGTAATATAATTATATTGGTAAAAGTATTATTTGGTAATATATTTTGGTATTTATTTATGGTATGTGTATGTCTTGGGTGTATGGTTATTGCTAGAGTTGGAGGTAAGGGGTTTGGATAGTTTAGGGTAAGGGTTAGTGCGAGAGGGGTAGGATTAAGGTTAATGCTAGGCATGAGATTTAACATCTTGTAGCATAACTAAGCATTTTCTTTCACAGATTTCTTCTGAGGTTCATCTGATGAGTCATCTTAGAGGCGTAAAACATCAGAACGCAGTGAGGGAGAAGGCTGGCAAGGACGTCATGAACACACAAGAAATGGTATGTCTTACTATTGCCAGCAAGTAGGGTATTCAGTGTATCCCTTCTTTAAGTTCATGAACAAATTAAGAAGCAATGATTTAGTAAGATTTAATAACAACATGTGTGTTCATGTGAATGTGCAGGCAGCCATTTGGAACTAGAATGGCTTCTAGGAAATAGTGAATGCCACCACGTTGACAAAGTAATTGTAATTGTAGCCCGACCAGGCTGTGCGACGGATTGTCTATTCTAACCCTAGCAATACCGTTTCTTGGAGCTATTGTAATTGTAGCTTTCTTAATGAATTGAAATTTATTATAGTAAGGGTAATTGGTTACAGACTATAGCAGTACCATGGGCATTGACAGCAATGATTCGTGTAATAACAATGTCGTGGCCTAATGTTCACCAGCTGAAGTGCAGTGCGGTGGAATAATATAATATTATAATAGTTAAGGTTTTAGTTAGGAATTTGGTTAGGTTTATGAGTTAGGTTCGGGATCTGAATCCAGAGGAAAGCTTAGAGTTGGAAAATAGTGTGAGAGTCAAGGTTAGGGTTAAACAAAGGGTTCGGGTTAGGCTTAGTGACATGAATTATGGCTAGATCCCTGTTTCGGTGTAGTTACGTACAACGTTTATACACAACTACATACATTATGTACAACCCCGTGCCTATGTGTCAGTTCTCGACCAGTTAACAAGCTAAGCTGTGCATCTACCGACTCTGTCTTCTGCTCTGACCAACGCCTTGAAGAAACAACACCTGCACGTTGCCTCGTCACGCTATATCGCTCACCTGGACACACCTGCCTGAGACCAGCACATCATACCTAGCAATCAGCATCTTCCTTCTGCCATCAGCTTGCTAAATAAGAATCCAAACTAGCTGAAATAAATGTTTAGTAACATACCGGACCCTGACCGGCCCGTTGTTCGAAAGTGGAAATATGTAATTTTTATGCTGTCTAGGTCATTCCATATTGAAATTCTCTACCTTCCATTTTAGTTCATGGTAAATTTGAAGCTTTTTCCACTGCGATCCACAGCGTTCTGTGATCTGTCTTTGTCTCTTTCCGTCTTCGATGTAATCTCTAGGACTTTGAAGACTAATCTTTTTGAGGTTATGTTATATTATCTTTCTGTCTGTGTATCGAGATGCGTATCGTATCGTGACCCATGTATCGAGATGCGTATCGTATCGTATCGTGACCCATGTATCGAGATGCGTATCATATCGTATCGTGACCCATGTATCGAGATGCGTATCGTATCGTATCATGACACATGTATCGAGATGCATATCGTATCGTATCGTGACCCATGTATCGAGATGCGTATCGTATCGCGACCCTAGTGTATCGTAACACCTCTGTTGGAAACGTATGTTTGTGCTGTCTAGGACTCTAGGGCATAGTTACAACTGTTCATGAAGTATTGTGCAAGATATAACATGCTGATATACAGATGTAGGTTTGGTGCTGACTATTTACGTTGATTCTAATGGCGGGACTCGTTTGTGTGTTCTCACATGTGGCTTTCCGATGAGGCCAGGGTAAAAAATACATGGGAGCGATAAGCAATTCGCTTTTCAAACCTCCGAAATCGCTCCCGTGAGGCTCAAAACAGCTCCCGTAAAATTTTTACGAGAGCTATTTTTCCCACACACTTGAAAAAGGGCTCCTGTGAAAAAAAAGGAATTTTTCCCCTGGATGAGGCACGTGTGTGTGCATGGCTTCTTTGTGTGTCTACAGGAATTGTACAACCTGAGGAACATTGTGGATGCCCCGCCGGACAGGGAGACAGCTGAGGTGGCCATCGACAAGGAGAGGCAGAGGAATCTGAAGAAGAAACGGCTGAAGAAGATGCGGCAGAGGATGGTGACTAGGTGAGTGTGTGTGCGTGTGTGTGTGTGTGTGTTTGTGTGTGTGTGTTTGTGTGTGTGTGTTTGTGTGTGTGTG